CATCATCCACACAAGGATCTCAATTGATGTAATTTTAAGCTAAAATTGCAGAACTTCATATTCAACTTTTAGAATTTCCATGCTAAAATAATCAACAGAGAAGAGAGTGGTACCTGGACACCTACAGCAGATTTTTTTCTGTCTTATTCTGTCTTTGAAGAAGTCAAGAGAAACATAGTTTGTATTTGGGACAGTGGGATATTAAAAGAGAGACAACTGTATCCTGGGCTGTATCAAGAGAATTGTGGCCAGCAGGCCAAAGGAGGCGATTATTCCCCTCTAATCAGCTCTAGTGAGATCTCACCTGCAGTAGTGCAACCAGTTCTCAGTCCCCCAACAGAAGGAGGACATGGACCTATTGGAGCAAGTCCAGAGGAGGCCACGACGATGCTCAGAGGGCTGGAGCACCTCTCCTATAAGGACAGGTTGAGAGAGTTGGGGCTGTTCAGCCTGGAGAAGAGAAGGCTCTGGGGAGATCTTATAGCGGGCTTCCAGTGCCCGAAGGGGCTACAAGAAAGCTGGGGAGGGACTTTTTACAAAGGCAGGTAGCGATTGAACAAGGAGTAATGGCTTTAAACTGAAAGAGGGTAGGTTTAGACTAGATATTAGGAAGAAATTGTTTACTGTGAGGGTGGTGAGACACTGGAACAGGTTGCCCAGAGAAGCTGTGGCTGCCCCATCCCTGGAAGTGTTTAAGGCCAGGTTGGCTGAGGCTTTGAACAACCTCATCTAGTAGAAGATGTCCCTGGTTATGGTAGGGGGGTTGGAACTAGATGATCCTTAAGGTCTCTTCCAACCCAGACCATTCTATGGATTAGAAAGCCCACATGAAGTCTGGGCTGCCACAGCTTGATGTCAGAGGGAAATGCATGCTGATTTAAAGTTGATGGACACCAAGTGGGAAATGACAATCTTTTTCTCAAGAGGTCTTTAATTCAGCTGGTCTTCACTACTGAGTCTTCATGTCAAGGTCTTCCTCTGGAGAAGGCAGCCAAAAGCAGTCCTGGCTTTCCTCCTATCAGGGAACAGTCAAAGCTGGGCCAGAGCATGGTAAAGGCAGCCTCTTCTGCCACACATCAAGTCTGGAAGAAGGTGAAAGAGGAATACAGGCACAGCTTGCCTACTATTGCATAGTGGCAGGGGAGCCTGCCTGGTTTCTCTCTCTAATAACTTCAGTTATTTTGGCTCTTGGTCTCCATGAAATGTATTCCCAGCTACAGACTCCCTGTCCCTACAACACTGGGAGCTACTGAAAGGATAGGAAAGCCCACACACCATATGGGTGAAGCATTCATGTGAAGGAAATTGTGCATAAATTTAAATGAAAACAAAACAAAACAACCCAAAGCTGATTGCATTTAATTTAGGCTTTATTGCTCCTTCACTGCTGAGGACACAGCCTCAAGCCAAGCTATACTCTGCTTCATAGTGTTTGAGTTTGGATGCTGCTCTTTTGCAACCTGTCTGATGAAGTAGCAGGTATGGGTTGCTACATGTCTTGCTGGCTGCTTGATGGCACAGATCATCTGAGAAAAGTAACTCTTTCTAATACAAGGCTTTTAAACATTCCCTGTAAAAGCAGCAGAATAACATCCTTCACTGTTCCTTATTTTCAGGAAACAGATAATTAGACATATGTAAAAAAATAAAAGCCCTACTTGGTGTATCATTCCTTTGATTTGTTAACAACAATAAGAAATCTTCCAGAAATTGGTAAGAACAAAGCTGAAAAATTCCTTACCTAATCCTCAACCTGATTCTACCTTGGGCCTTGCTAATACTGGACTCTGAGTGCTCAGAAAAAATTCTGGTTTTAAGATGTTAGTCTCACAGGCTGAGCCTAAGACCATGTGATGGCATAAAATTCTGACAAATGCATTCAGAAAGCTGGGCCTGTTGTAGATTCATGAGGAAAATTATAACATAAATGAGTAATACTGTCTCAAGACCCTTTTATACTCTGAATATGTACAGATGTACCTAAAGCACCAGGTAAGACTCCAGATAAATATTATTTTCTGGGAAATTCTACTCTTCAGGATGCTTCATCCTTTGGTCTCTGTTGCTGGAAAAAGTCAGAGACTGTCAGTGTTTCTCAATCTGTGGTCCATGCATCTGTGATGCTCCATGAGATATCAGATGCTGGTCCAGGAAAATAGCAACAAAAAATTTAATGCATGAAGATAATCAAGATCCAGAGTCCGGAACTCAAAGATCCCATATTTTACCATTTTAGTAACAATTTTGCAAAATTGTGTTTACCGATGTGTTGAGCACACTTCTTTTTTAAATCATTTTATCTTCCAAATATTAAACTGCATTTAAAATATACAGTCAGGGTTCTTCACACGAAGGTCATCCAGCCTTTGGATTAAAATCCGTTTCTCTTTGGCCTGGCACTCTTGTAAATTGTACATGGGAAGTGCAATTAGTTTTGGAGGAGTCTTGTAAATTGTATGTTAGAAGATTGCCATTTTGGGGCCTAGATCCTTGCATTTCCAAACTGGAGAGTTTGGCTATACAGAAAATGCAAAATCCAATTCTTTAAAGAGATGTAAGTGTCCATCAGAAAGAAAAGAATCCTTATTCTGTTGTAGGATGAAGAGGAAAGAATACAAGAGATAGTACCAGTATTTAGGAAATAGATTCCTGTCTATGGGATAGAAAACAAGCACATGGTCTGCCAACAGAATACAAAGGAATTGCTGAAAGATCAGTACTATTTATTTTATACATTTTGAAGCCTTTGCTTCTTTACTCCTCCCTGCCTTTTTCTCCCCAGGAGCCAGCTCTTTGATTTATTTACTGCAACACTCCTTAGGAAAATGTCTTGTTTAGGCTCTCTGCAGTTTTACACTTGCCCTCTGAGTGGGTGTTACTTGCATGGCACTACTCAAAGGCAGCTGTGATATTGCTGGCACTGAGAGATATAACAAACTATAAAGTATTGCTCAGCTTTTCAAAATAAACACTTACTTGAGCAGAAACCACTTTATGGGTTTTAGCTTTTATATTTTCTACTTATGCTTTTTGTGTATAACAAATTTCAAAACAAAGAATTAAAAAATTTAACACCAGATGAATATGCACATTTAAAGGCTAAAAGATCTGCTCAGGCACAGAAGTAATTATTAGCTTGTCTATCAAGAGAAGAAAGATGTTGCGACCTTTGAAATGACATTACAGTTCATATTTCCTTTCTACACCTTGTTCAAAACGGATACTGCATTTTGGCAGGAAATGAAGAGCAAAAGCTTCCTGCAAAGATAAACTTCATGACTCAATTTGTATAAACTAAAGCTTCTGTGAGTTTAACATTAAAGTTGAGAAAAATCTGACTGAATGCTCCAGGGTGAGCAGAAGATGGATGCTGCCTAGGCTCCTGCATGCTGCCAATCACTCCTTCACTGGCCCTCACACATCTGACTTCCCTGTCCCATTGGGTTTGTGTCTTACACGGGGACTACCAGCACAACCACCAGACTAAGCACCATCCGGGCACAGGGGTGCAGCCTCTGTGCGTGCCAGCAGGACTGCACCTACCTATACCACAACAGGACTTTCCCCACTGCACCTGGAACCAGTTTGGGCTGCTGCCAGCAGAATGTCAGCTCCTGCCACAGGCAATGCAGGAGAAGACATTTTGCTTTTCAGGTCTCAAGAAGATGCCCAAATTAGATTGCATTTGCAGTGCTGGGAGGGTCCACTGCTCTGCTAACCACTCAGCACCACATGCACCCAAGGAAAAAATGTTTACCTGGTATGGCCACGGTTAACCTTTTTTCCTTGCTGAGACGGTGCCCATGGATGAATTCACTCATGGAAGGGGGGCCCCTCAGAAGATATGATTCTGTGGAGGTGGGATGAGGGGGAGCTCTTAATAATTTCTGGAGGTAGGTCCCTGAAGTCCTGGGATGGCTCTGATCACAAAGGGAAGGTGAGAATAGTCTTGCAGGAGATCCAAGAAAAATACATATGGAAACAAAAGAGTTTTACTTTAATTACCTTTCAAAGCCTCATGAATGACAACATTATGTTAATATGCTTAACAGGTAAAAACCAACTAGCGTTGCCACCCCATGTCGTTTCTACAGCAGGGTGCCTCGCCTGCATTGGAAATCCTGGTTCATATTTGGGGAGGAGGAAATGAGGTCGAGTTATATCTCAGCATCCTGGAGTCGACATGTACAAGGTTCCCTGAACGTTCTCTTGTTTTTGCATTGTGACTAGAGCATACAAGGAAAGGGAATGATTATCTAGGACTTCTCTAACAGAGTCCTTTTCATCTTCAGGACTGTGGAGATCCCCACACCTACAGAGCTTTGGCAGGGCAGTCACAAGACAAGATAAGAACTCACTGTTTAAACAGTGAAATATTTGCTTTAGGTTATGAATGGCAGCCATCCCCCTTCAAAGGTTGCTTGCTCCCATGTAGAAAAATTGATCTGAGTGAACACATCCATATTCTTTTCACACTGATGAAGAACAAGGGAGCACCACAGCTTAACAGAGAGATGTAGTTTCTTTTGTGTTAAGCTGTGAAATGCTCATAGACCACAATCCTTTTTTTTATTTCAGATGCTCGTTATGGAAAACCTTAAGGAAAACTTCTTAAAGAAAATACATTCACACTAATATTAAAGACATACAAGATGCACTGAGACACTGACAGAATATAGTTCAAAACACTACATTAAGGAGGAGGAAATAACATAGTAGTAGGTGGATCAGAAGCACATGTTGCCAGGCTTTGAATTTCATATTTATATCCTCCACACCTCCTTCTCCCCAAAGTACAAAAAAAAAAAAAAGTTTACAATTCAGTGAACAACTTTAATGCAAGTCTGGCCACTGCACTGTACTGTACTGTAAAGATCACTGCATGCATACATTTTCCTCTGAGTGCCACTGCTGACCAGTAAGTTTGGTTGCTGTGGGCCCTGACTATGCAGGAGGAAAGTGTCTATGCTTGGCACGGTGGCTGATGCCTCCTCACTTACTTTAGGGCTGCCGATCTTGCTCTTTCCAAGCTTGCCTTTGCTGCGTCGGGACTGCTCATGGTCGAACTCTAAATCCTCCAGTCGCTGAGTAAGGGCAAGTTTTTGCTGGATAGCCATGCGCAACAGAGAGTTTAGGGTCTTCTTCTCATCCTCTGCAGCTGCGAGCTGCCTCTGCATCTCATCCAGCTGCGTGACGTACTCATCACACCTGGGAAAACAAACAAGGCAGAAATCTGGGGAACCAGTCCAAGAACAAACCCTACTGGTGATCACATTCCCAGGCTGCAATTAAAGGGACAGATTCACATCCAAGCTTTTGCAGAACCTAATCTTGGAAGCAGACAGCCTGAATTCTTCCATTCCCACTTTGAACAAATTTGAACTTGGATCTGAATGGCAACACTTCCCGTTCTGCAGCAGAACGTATCTGTATCTAGAATATCAGAGTAGTCTATGGCAATATGGTATGTTTCTAATGCAGGTAAATAGCAATTGGAGGGAAGGTTTGGGATTATGTCCAGGTTAGGCCACAAATAACAATTTTAGGGGCGGGTTCAGCTAGTAACTCACCAGGGATAAGAATGTCTATTATTTAGATAATACTGTTTTTCATAGACAGTCAACAGAATCACAGAATCGTATGGGTTGGAATATCTGCTTAAGCAAAATATTAGAAAAAATGATGAAAAAAAGACTGCAAGTACTTTGAACACTTGACACATCACATTTTGTGCCATGAGAAGCCCTCAATTGTTTGCCATTGTTAGCTGACTAAAAGAGGTATTCAGAAATCTCCACACCTGGAAGTTACTTCACATTTACTGTTGAGTCTCTTAGAGATGTGCTCAGGTATCCATTGCTATGGTGACCTACTCCTTTTTAACCCTCAGCCTCTCTTATCTACATGAAAAACTGTATCTTTTTAATTTGCTTTAGATCTTCGAGACATAATTTTGAAACAAAACCACCTTTCTCATGATTTTGTTAGCATTTAAGACTGAATTAAATTTGGTTCTGCTTTAAACAATGATTCCTAAAGTTAACAGGAAGAACAAGGCGTTTCAGGATGCTTTTAGTCAGTTTTTGAAGTGAAATAGCTTCAATTTGTTAACAATAGGTCATCTGATGAGTAAGAACCAAGAGTGACAAATGTGTACCAGTAATGAAATGATTCACAGATAGCAGTACTGTCTGACCATAGGACATTTGTGGCAACACCCAAGAATTTTTCACATTAAATGATGCCACTTTTGTCAAATCTCCCCTTGTGATTTGTACAAATTTAAAAAGCTTTGCTGTGTAATAGTGTAATGGATGAAGATTAACTTTATCAGTATAACTCAGAAAACAAGCATAGAAAATAGTCTTCCTTCTCAAAATGTGTGACGCAATAAACGTTTGAATTATTACAAGCAGAGATGAAACTAATTTCTCTGAAACTTTAATTGTCTCCTTGGGAAACAGAAATAAAGTATTCTCAAAAAATAATAGTTATTCTTCTCACTCACTCACATTTGCACTCCTCTTGAATAGTTCAGGCACTGGAAGCAAAATTACTAAGTCAGTCATAGTTTCATCTACAGTTTCAGTATTATCTTTCTTCTACAGGACCTTAATAAGCATGACTTTCTCTAGCCAAGCCTTGAGGAAGACAGATATTTCTGAAACACTGGTTGGCTTAAAGCCAACTTGCATACCTATTTCTGCTTCAAGCTATGAGATATCTATTGATGCTTTAGCCAGTTTCTTTGACAGAGACACTAGAATGAAATCAGCATTCTGGAGGTTAAATTCAATTAATTCGAAACAGGAATTACTATAATGTCTGCGTTATCAGAGTTTTAAAGACTCATTCTTGTAACCAGATATATCTGGTATCCATCTCTCCTATTCTCTCCTGCTTTCTTCTTTGTCTAGAAGATGAATATTTTTTTCTAAATATGTTCTCTTTTGAAAATTTTAAAAAGTAACACCTGCAGCACAATGCCACTAGAGGAGCAAACGCCAGTATGCCAGTATATTAATTTTGCTTTTTTGCCTCAGGCCTCAGGATGCATTCTTGGTATTTAGGCATCTGCTTTGTAAAACAGCATAACTGAGCAGTTCAGAAACATAAGCTCCATGAAGGTGGATATACTAAAGCAAACAGACAAACCTGCTTTTCATTACCTGCTATGAACAATAACAAGCTAACCCTAGAAACCTGAGTATACTAGCTACTGTTAGCTGGCCTACTTGAGACAAATACAATGTCTTGAATATAACATTTTCCAACTATCCTGATTAATCATATGCCCTTCCTAGAAGTCTCTCCATAACAGCAACCCTACATTCTTGGCAGTTCACTACAGTCTTTGGGTGGTTCCAGTCATCTGACCGCCCCCACGAGTTGAAGTTTCCTATTATTTTTCACAAACACATGGTCCATTGTCTGTTTTGTTGCTCAAGCATATGTATTTTTTTGTGAAACAGTGTTCAGAACGGTTAAACCTAAATCAGTCCAAGTAAAGGACATAATTAACTTTAGAAACTGCTGAATTAACAGCCTCAGATCTCCTTGAAGTCTGCAGCAGTGAAGGTTATTCCATGTAGATAGAGGTAGCTACTGCCTGCAGCCATAGCATTTCCCTTCACTGAAATATTCCTTGCTAGGTGCAAGTGTAGGATAAAAAGAGAAGTGTTTCCAATTAAAAAGAAAAAAACACTACACACATCCACATCTCCTTTTGCCCACATGTTTTAAAAACATTCATGAAGTCTCACAGCATACTGAGGAAGAAAAAGGTTAACAGCTCCTGAGAGATGACTTCTGGCATGGTACAGACCACTATGGACCAAACAGGGCTCCAGGATGCACCAGGGCTCTGAATAGGTCCTTCAGAAGCACTCAAATAGTAGTGAATAACAAAAGTTATGTTATGTCCTCCTAAGTCAGAGCTCTTTCTCAATTTTTCCCTTGCTCCAGGACAGGTATAAGGTGCAAGTGACTATTAAAGAAACAGCACTGTTATGTTGCTGACTGCTGGTCTACTTATCACCAGAGCAAAGGTCAATATTTCACCTATTTCTCATTTCTCTTGTCTCAGAAATGAAGTGGACAGACACATAATCTCACTTATTTTGTATTAACTGATCCAAGAAGCTTATTATAGGAGTTTAAATGATTTCTAGTTCCATCTCTCACCTAGGAATGCAAACCAAATACTGAGTCAGGCTTATGTGTAATTTATGTAACATAAATCATAGCAGAGCTTGAGTTAAAACCCAGGGACACTGACAGTGACAGATCCCTGCTCTAGCCATAGAAGCATAATGCTCTTCTGCTCATAAATGTTTTCTCACTTAGGATAACTCCAGGATCTCTCTGAACTTCCCACTCCATCTCTTCAACACACATTTTTCTTTAAATATTAATCATAAGAAAATGTCTAGATGGATGGAGAATAAAAATCCATGCATGCAGTGTCAGGACTATGGCAATATCATGAGCAATATTTCTTGCTCTCTCCTTTTGAGTATTTCCATTTAGGCTCGGAAAGCAAGTATGTGTAGGGACTCAAATTAGTTTCCTGAATCCCTTTAGGATCCTGCTTTAAAAGTAGTTCCTTCTCCCCTTCAGCACTAGACCTCTCCCAGGGCAACCCCTACTCTAGATGGTAAAACTAATGTTTTAAAGAATTTATTTTTCATTTGCTCTCTGGATGAGTGCTGGCCAGCCATCTCACTGCTTCACACTCCCACAGCTCCCACCGGGGTCAACAACTCAGGGTTGGAGTGAGGGGAAATGACAGGTCGGGCAGGAAAGGCTCACACCATTTTTTCTGGTCTAGGATGACCAGATGCAGCCCAGGACAAAATAAGCAGGCTAAACACAGGCACTGCGCGTGTGGAGAACAGTACATGGCCCTGGCATCAAACAGCAACTTTAACTCTGCTCTGCCAACCCCACGCATCTCACAGAAAATAAGGTTTTATATGCTGGGTTTTTTTCTTTTTCCAAGAGGTTTTGTTTGAAGAAAGGGGGATTTGAACTGTATTGAGGACGTATTCTTGAGAGGTCTGAAGTAAATTCAGAAATAGGGATTAAGGTTAATGAAGAGGGAAGGAGGAAGCTGTAGAGATCAGAGCCACAGAGGTTTTGGACTGGGAAACAAACAGTCCCAAAAGGAAAAAGAGCAAAAGTACAGGTATGAGCTGGACAGAAGGAATTTTGAGTGGGAGAAGAGAAGAACTGAAGAAAAAACTTAAGGAACAGAAGGAGGCACAAGCGTTAGGGGAATTCTCGATGCAAAAATGAGGGCTCCTGCTTTCTGCATAGGGGAGCTTTGGAGAAAAGAGTAATCTTTGCTGTTCAGACCAGAAACAGGTATGCTCTGCTCTCCTTATGACCTTTATCCAGTGCATTTGAGGAAGAAACCATACAGTTCAGCACCAGAATGAACAGGTATTTGGGGACCAAATGAACAGAAAAGGATGGTTTATGAAGGAGAAAGGATATTGCTCTATCAAACAGTATATGAAATAATTTTCAGATCTATAATATAACTCTACTATCAGAGAGATGTTCTCCGAAAGTACAAATTCAGGAGTAAGTTCCATGTGATGCAGGACTACCATGGAAACCAATGTTTTATTCAACAAAGGATTAAACAATTGCTTTTTTTATGCTGAAGGTTGCTATTGCATCAAATGTTACTGCATGGAGAATCTTAGAGTCTTGTATTTCAAAACAGATTTATTTTCTTAAACAGACATCTATAGTATATAATTGCTCTGTCATTTAAACAAATACTATTCCAAATGGAATATTCAAAATGAGTCAATGATTTGAACATTTAGGAAGGTTGATTTAATTATAAGGCCATTAGATTCCAGGGCAGGAAAGGAAAATTGATACTTTACAACTGAAAAATCTATAGGAGCACACTGATGTGTAAGACCTTGCAGTGAATTATTTTTTATAACTCTGCTCAGAAATTACGGGGCAAAACTTACGATGTCAAGGGCAGGGATATGTTCTACAGGCCACGCAGTGAGTGCTTAATCAGTACTGCATGGAGTTTACCAGAAGCAGGAAATGCTTTAGGTGGGGTTTATCTCTACTAACATTTGATATTTACAAAGTGGAAATCTGTAACTTGGGCAGTCACCCAGATTCCTTTTATAGCTCGTAGAAGAGAAAAATCAAAAGAGAAATTCATTGCATGCTAAACCCAAGACATCTAGAAAAGGTATCTAGATAAATGGCAGCCTGCTTCTCATAGAAAAGATGCTGCTGTCTCCCATCAGCTTTAGGATATGCCTTAAACCCAGCAGAAGTGCGCATTCAGGATGCCCAAATAGGGTATAGTGCACTCAGTACACCAACAACCTAACATTCCCTTTAAGTAACAACTTCTAAATCTTTGCAAACTTATTTTACCTCATAGGCTGATGATTTATGCTTCCATGAAAGACCCTTGTTTGCTTTATGCCCATGATGCCACTTCTCTCCTCTGGAGTTAGTAGCCTTCCAGGTAGTCTTATAGAGTTGGTACATTCACGTATCTCCTAGATTAATAAGCTTGCAAATAAAGATTGACACGCTCATTTCTATTACAGACACACAACTTTGCTTTCTTGAAGAAAATCTTTAGATGCCAATGAAATCAGTTGAGCTACCCTGGTTCACACCACCTGCTGAGTTGGTTCTTCATTTCCATTATGGCACTACACATACTCTTCTGATGATGAACCTATGACGAATTTGTACACAGCACCAATGTCATAGCATGTAAATGTCCCTTCTCCTTTCTTCTCACCTCTCCCAGCTGCTGCTGCCACTGTCACTGAGCTATAAAGGACCTTAGAAGGCTGGAAAAGGTGAGATGGCACTGTGATAGGGAGCACTGGAGATATGTTGTCACGAGGCATGAAGAAGTCTTATCACTCACAGTCTAAAGCACAAGCTTTTTGTTTTACAATAAGGAGAGAAAAAAAAAAAAAAGCCTTGATATAACAGAATAATTTTCTGAGTATACTAATTCCTTTCCTTATTAATTTATTGATGAAAGCATTGGATCTTTAAAAAAAATATTTTTAGATAATCTTTTAAAAAGCAGCTAAAACCAAAATCTCTTCCAAAGACAGTGTGGGGGAAGGAAGTATGAGAGATGATTAATTACTGTCCTGCCAGGAGAAAACATGTTACAGAAAAAGTTAAATTTTTATCCTGTGAAGGAGGAGATAATAAATTGAATATCACAGTGGGATAAAATAAGAATTCATGCCGGAGTGGGAAATTGCAGTGGCCTCACAATTATTAGTGCTGGATTACAGCATAGGACGGCTGATGAAATAGATTTTACTAGTGGTAAGTAATAAATCTACAGTAATGAAAACATGAAATCCCGAAGATCATCAGTAACCACACAATAGCTTCACATGACAAAATCGCCACATACTTCTGAATGTGAAAATCAGCCACATAAATCTACTATTTGATCTCCACTTTAAAAAGCCCTATAAATGCAAATATACTGATGGTTGATATTGGCATTTATAATACTTTACTCAAGGTTGTATTGACATTGCTATTCTCGAGCTTTATTTTCCAAGACACACATCTCAGTAGCACTTGCAAGCTTGCAGGTTTTGTGCAGTGTGTACTCTAAGACTCACTCACCTTCATCCAGCAAACTCCTGACCTTGCAGAAAACAATTTCTGTCTCTCCTGCTAAGCACCCACCATACATGGCTAAATCTGTTCTCACTTAGCACACACATACTTACTCTTACAGTGCTGAGCCAGATGGTGAAACCGTTTCCCTTACCTGGTTGCAAACATTGCTCTCAAGGATGAGAAGGTTGCTGCATCTTCCTTCAAAGCCTTTAATTCATTCCGTAGTTTGGTCATGGTTTCAGTCACCATTGCTTTTTCATTTTCATATTTATTCTTCAAATTGGCTAATGCCACTTCAGCTGTCTGAAAACACAAATAAAGATATATGCTTATAAAATAGATATCTGATAACAGCTAAGATGCCATATTTGATTTTACTTTTGATTTCTTTCTCTTTCACAAAGTAAAAGAAGTTAGCTTCATTGTGTTGCACCCTTTAATGTAATCTTTTAAGTTGTACTCCATGAAACCAGGAAAAAGAGAAAGCATTTGAAAGGACCAAGCCAATTTCAATGCACCATCAACAACTCAATGCCTTAAATGTCTCTGCAAAACTGTGCAGCTATATGTGGAGGACACAGGCAAGTAAGTTACTACAGCTTAAGGAGCTGCTACCATGTCCTTTGAGCTGCAAGGAACAGCCAGGTGTGTCCCCTGACCACATTGCAAACAGGACACATGGCATAATGAGACTCAGCCTCTGTGGCCAGGGTGGGACATAACGTGTTTTGCCTCATGCTTCCTGCCAGCTGAGGCTTTCCTTGGGCGAGGACCTGACAGCTTGTTCTTACGTTTGAGCACCCGCAATGCCTACTGCTATGCAAACCAACATTTTGGCAGGTTTAACCACCTCAAAAAAAAGAACGAAAAAAATGTAAATCACAATTTTTCCTTAACAGAAAAAACAAGGATTTGTAGTCATCCTACCCTCTCATTTTTTCTGCTCCCTCCTTTCTTTTATTCAATTTCATCCATTAAATTTCTTTAATTTACTGCCCTACTGCTTTTAATAGTTACATTTGTCTTCTTTTTGCAAGAGTTGAACCTTCTGCTTTACCTCTGATGTTTAGTATAATTTTGAAGTTACTCAAAATACATAGTTTTATAGAGGCATTATGCCTACTGCTGCTATGAGACATGTAAAATTATTGCAATTGAATGAGATGAAGAAAAAATGTTTCCTTTTACATTTGCTCAGAGGGGGTTGTTTTTTCACTTCAGTTAATGCATAATAAGTTGCAGCACTGCATATAGGCAATCAATTTTCCCCGTTGTGGGTTCTTGAGCCATGACCAGGGGAAAGAAACATAGAACAACATTAGTTTAAAGCAACCAGCCAAGGGGACGTGACAAAAGATGGAAATAGCCAAACAGTTGGAAACATATTTTAAACTCAGTTTTCTGAGGCTCAATACATTTCCCACTAGCAATATCTCTTAACAAAAGGACATATTAGCATGTCCTACCAAAATACAACTGTACTTATTTATTTCTGGGGAAATAGTACAGGTAGAAATGGCAGCGTTAAAATAATTCTTTTTTTTTTTTTTTCCAATTGTACACTCACCAATAATGTTTTGTCTATTTTCACACCAGTTTACACTGGGAGAAGAGATTTTTAAAAATCACTAGTAAATACCTGTCATTTTAAATAGGTGGGTTTTTCCATGCCAAATTTGAAATCATCAGAAATACATGTTAAAAAAACTCAACCACCTAGGGATATATTCAAATAAATGTAGCTTTTCTCAACCTTGCTGACATATGCTTTGGTATAATGTAGGATGGTAGACACCATCCTACACCTTGGCAGGATAAAGCAGAAATTGTCAGTTTTCTCTCTGTTTTCAGCCATGAGCAAAAATGTACACTGATAAATTAACACGCAGAAGAAGGATTAACTATGTTTAATGAAATTACTTTTTTGAAGGAAAATTTAGGAAATAGTGCATTAGAGGACAAATTCCTATTTAACAAATACGATTAAATCAGTTTAAGAATTTTCAGGTCACTCGTGAGGCAGAAGTTATTTATGAGAGCACAGGTAGATTCTAGAGTTCAAAGTTTTGCTTTGCCCCTAAAGCTGGAATTCAGATGTCATTGCTTTGTAAGAGAAATACAGCCCCATGTCCCTTAACCTATCATACCTCATCTTCAAATGCAGAACTCATGTAAAGATTTTCCTCTGTTTAGTAATGAAAATGAGTTAAAGATATGTGAAGTCTAATGCTAGACTTTTAAAAAAAATTGTTAAATTGTTTCAGCAGTGGGATTACATATTCCATGTAAACCCAAGAGTTTACACATCACTGAAACTGTGCACAATGATCAGAGAGATCATCGTGATCCCTACATTCGAGTCTGGATGACAGGGTAAGTTAAATGGACATGTAACACTACAGGATGAAAAATAACTTAGAAATATAATTTACTTGATGAATAAACATAACAGAGGAAGGATTCAGTCAATCTTCAAACCTTTTTTTGAACACACCCCTTCACAGGCTGTTGAGAGTCTCCCTTCTGAAAGTCTCCTAAGTGAAGAACAAAAGTGCACAACTGTTCAACTAGAGAAGCAGACAAAACTAACAAAAATGTGTTTTTAATAATCAGGAGAAAGAAAGGGGAAGCAAGTTGGGGAAGCTTCTGTTGGAAATCTGCAGACAGAGAGCCAGGGCCAGCAGAGCAGCAGTGCGTCGCTTTGGCGTGAGGCTCAAGAGGTCCTTGTAAGAGCCAGTGGGCACTGGACAGTGTGGGTGCACAGGTTACCTACAGTTCCTCAGTTTGGGACCTGAATACTGACTGAAGATGATTGTTGTCAGACTCCTCAGCTCAGAGAATGTTGTTTTACAATGGAGCTAGATCAATCTATACTGGCTATCTGTCACCCAAAGAATAATTACCCAGCCTTTCTCCATGCCTACCCTTTGCACACCTGGTGGTTTTCTTCTATGCTTACTGTGAGCCACTCTTGGGAGCTTAGATAGGCAGAAAAGTCACCTGAAGCACCCTAAAGCCAGAATGTGTGATGGGAAGTGGGGCTGAGGGGGAGAAGGGGAACTTGGACTCTGTCTTTCAGAGGTACTTATATGGCTGGTCACCTCAGCTGTACTGCTAGACTGTGCCAAGAGTAACAGGGACAAAATAAACTGAAGCCATAGCTTCATGTTACTCTTCCTCCAGTACCAGTTCTAATCTAAATTATTTCTATTTGTTTCCCCTCTCAGCCAGTCTCCAAAATTGTGCCCATTGAGCTATTTATGTATGCTCGTGTCTGAACCCAGTTCTGTGGGATAATCTAGACTTTAAAGACCTGAGGTGAATGGTGTGTTCAGAGAGTGCTCTGAAAGGAAGGATAGGGCAGCATACCCAAGTAGAGGGTCACAGAAGGAAGCAGACACCCAGGACCTGGCTTTGATTTTAACAGACCTTTCTGAAGCACTTGATTTTATGGATGGACTCAATGGTCTTAAAGGTCTTTCCCAACCAAAACGATTCTATGATCCTTAAGCTGTGGTTAACTACAAAATTGTGTAACAGAAATTAGAGAACTTCACATAAAAATGCAACCTCTGACCAACACACACGAGAACAGGAAGAAAAAGATGAAAACACAGAAAAATGTGTGAATACTCTTCAGTGAAGTAAATATCGCAGTAAGACAGGAGAGGGGCTAACGACACTCCTGTCAGGAGACCAGTCATCCTGAAGAATTGGGCAAATGAATTACCCAGCCACTCAGCAAACCACCTGCAGACACAGGATTAAAGGCTCACAGAGCACGTAGCATTTGTGTGCAGAGGACATCACTGGGAGCTGACAGCAAAGCCAGGAAGTAGCAGAGAGCTGCAACATCTGGGCTCCTGCAGAGTGTGAAACACTATCCAGGAAGAGAGCTGGGGTATGCAGAGCACAGTCCCCCTGTCACCAAAACCCAGCCATGGAACCACACAGCCTGAGGTGAGCACACACCCAAGCCCCAGGACCCGATGCACTGCCAGAACTAATAACATCCTTTTCATCTTCCTCCTTATCCTTACTGAAGAGATGTTTGCTCAAACCCAGCTATCTTCAGGCTGCCACATTAATCCTGAAATCCGTGAACAAACCTCATTTTCTCTATACAGATTTCACAACCTAAGAAGACTTTGTATCTCATTTACCTTACACTAACAGTGTGAGAAGGAAAACAAGGAAAAAAAAAAGTTGCTGAAAGAATAAAGTCCTACAGCAATAAGTACTTTATATTTTCATACAAGAAAACAGAACAATAGCCTGTTGTTTTAGTGCAGAAATCATATGTGCTACTAGATCTTTCCACCCAGAACTCTCTATAGCAATGGGGCTTTTGTTCCTATATCAGGTACTGTATGTCTGGGGTTATCATCCTATTTTTTCTGATGGACTTTTATGAGTATCTCAGTTACGGGAGCTGGAGACACCATAGTAACTGCCAATGCAGATGTGAAAGACTTGCTGACTCAACCCCTTCCCACTGAGTCATTTGCCTACAAGAACAACCAATCATTTTTCAATCAGAACTTCAGGATATTAAATTCCCCTTATAGGCAGCTTAGCTTTCTAAATGTTATTGGAAATCAAAATCAAAACCATCATTGAACTTGTCCTAAAAGTTATAATATCATTAATTTGATACTACTTTACAATTTATGCTACTTGTTAATGCTAATGCTACTTGGGTTTGCTTCACAAAACTGGTGCTGACACAGTAATTATGGCTATGGATAAATGGATACATAAATCAAGGCAAAGTAAGCAAGCAAGCTAGCAAGATATATGTGCCTCACTATCTTGAGCAATTTATTTAATAATCTTTTTTCCTGGGTTGAGGTTTGCAGCTTCTTAGAGCAAATCTTGCCCCATTTTTTGTATTAGAGAGTTTTGGGTAGCCTGTTTGCAGCCCAGCCTAATGCTTAATGCTAATTTGAAAATATTAATAAAGAAAATATAGCTAGATTAAAAAGAAATACCATCAGATATTGCCAAACACATTAAACTAAGCAACATCTTGTCAGGTTCAAACAGAAATTTATTGTATGCTGTTAAAGATTTAAAAGGTGCAACTGCACGGCTGGAGCACCAGACAGAAATGGGGACTCCTTCAGAGCTCTCCTGCAGGCAGGCAAGTTACTGTGGAGAGAAAGGAATACAATTCACAGAATCATTAAGGTTGGAAAAGACTTCTAAAATAATCCAGTCCAACCGTCAACTCATCACCACCATGCCCACAAAACCATATCCCTGAGTGCTACATCTACACGTTTCTTGAACAACTCCAGGGATGGTGACTCCACCACTTCCCCAGGCAGCCTGTTCCAATGTCTGACCACTCTTTCAGAGAAGAAATTTTTCCTAATATCCAACCTGAACCTCCCCTGGTACAAGTTGAGGCCATTTTCTCTCATCCTATCACTGGTTACCTGGGCGAAGAGACCAACGCCCACCTCACTACAATCTCCTTTCAGGTATTTGTAGAGAGTGAGAACTCCTCCTCTCAGCCTCCTTTTCTCCAGACTAGAGTTCCTTCAGCTGCTCCTCATAAGACTTGTGCTCCAGACCCTTCAGCAGCTTCCTTGCCCTTCTTTGACATGCTCGAGCAGAAACTCTCCTCTTCCGATGAACCATTTGCCCCTATGAACCTGGATAACAAAGGATGTCAGTGCACTGCAATGGAGTATATTGCCAGGAAAAAGATAATTCTCATTTTAACCTGATGTTGTTATCCTTCTGGTGGTCACTAGAGTGCACCCATGCTTCCCTGGTCAAGGGTGTGACTCCCCTACGGAACCACAGCCTGACTTACCAGACCCAGGGGCCTGCTGCTGATCTTCCCCATTTGATCTGAACAGCAAGATTCTCTAAGAAGGCCAAGTTTTGCCATTTTTACAATGCACTTGATTGTGCTCATCTCGCTTTCCAATGTTATTTCAACCAAAAGAGCTCCACCTAAAGCACTCTGTTTGGAGTGCTAACAATATGGGGTTTTCACCATATTACTTCTACAAAGCAGGAGGAGCTATGCTGAAGGCCAAGGACCAGCCAGGGCCTCCAGCCCCTCCCCACAGCAGGCCACCTGCCTGCAGGGGCTGCTGCAGCCCTCCCCTGGCACCCCAGGCACCAGCACTGCCTCACCGCCCTGCCTAAGGGCTGGAAAGACACAGCTCCCTATTAATGTCAGCTTCAGTAGGGCCCGAGGAAGGTTTTAACAAATCAAAATTCTAGTTCTTGTGATTCTGGAGCAAACATGAAAATCCAAACCAGATGTCTTCTGTAGGCTCATCTAAACTGAAACCCACAAAGGAAAAATATCCTCAGCCTACTGCAGCCTAAAAACTTACTGTTTTGGAGGGGAAGAACTCAAGGGGATGAATCTTGACTCATGTTTTTTGAACATGACATGTGCTTTGGATCCTGGCATACACCCATCACTTGAGGCTGGCAGTAGTGCTAGCACATAATAAAACTCACCCCACCACACTTTACAACTTAGAATTTCTCCTACCCTTTTATATTATCATGTCTTTTAACTTGAAAGTTTGAGGATGTTGACATTAGGTTTGCATGAACAGTATTGCAAGATTCTGTACCCGGTCGTACAGTTACCAATGTGTGTACTGCTATCCAATAAATAAAAGTTTAATTAATAGCACCTCCTTACTCAGCAAATCTATCTATCCCGTTTCAGTGAGCATGCTTTAGGATAATGCTTTATTTCTGACAGCAATAAAAGAGCAAGACTGAGCTAGATTCTCTGGTAATAGCCAAAAAATAATTGATAGCTCTATGTTAATGGGAAAAATCTTTAATTTGGAATCTAAACCCATATGCTTCAATTACATCGTAATTACATTTTAATTACATGGAAAAACCACATGTAATTGCTCAGAGCTATTATTGCTTAGCTAGAGATGGTATTTAATTACTTGAATTAATATTTAACATGTGTTGTATTGGAGGGGGGGAGGAAATGCTATAAAAGACTCGATGTATCTTTAAATATTGCTGCAATTTAAAAATCTCCAGTACTCTAGAAAGGCAGTTACAGATCCAACAATCAGTCCAAATTTAAACTGAAACTTCAGATTACTTGACTATTGGGTATTTTAACACTGAAATCCCATCACTGCTAATACCATCCCAAACTGTGAACCAGGATTCATGCCTCCATGTGCTGCTTTTAGATGAGAAAAGTCCCAGGCAATCTGGAACAATGACTCTGCTGCTGCAGCCTCTTGTACTCACGCTTAATTCTGGCCATAAAGAAATGCACCAAAGTAAATAAAACTATTTGTATGCTTAAATTTAACTCTCTAAAAAGTGTTTGTGGACCTGGAATCTAATGGATACAAAGGGCTTGGGAGGATATATTATGCAAAAACAGTGACAGTGTTCTTTAAACCAGACCATTACATGGTCCTCTGTTGGCATTTGATATAAAATGTGGTAATTCTCAATTTATTTGCATTGGTGCAACATCAAAAATAAAATGTTTTGGTTTTTTTTTTTAAAGCTGTGAAAATTTTCAAAATAATTGAAATTTTTAATTCTCTTAAAAAAATATAACTTTATAAAGAATCCTTCTGAAAATAAAAAATTGCAGTTACTGTCTCAGTTTGAGTCAGCTTTATCACTTAGTGATGTTGTCACTTTTTTTAAAATAACCAAACCCTTTATTTTATTTCTTAAATAATTAAAAACATTACAGTGGAAGGAGAAATTATTTCTAACTAATGAGAAAAATAATTATAAAAATTCCAACCACTTGTAATGAAAAAAACTCAGCAGTTCACCTACTGTCTCATCAAAGGTAAGTCTAGCCTCGGTATTGTCCAAAGCCACTGGTCACAGTCTTATGCCTGCCATTCTCTTCCTGTCAGGTGCTTTAGCTTTTGTGGCATTTGTTTTTAATTCCCTTAAGTTTGCTAGGGGGCATTCAAGTTTTGCAGCCGCTGGAGTGTTACGGAGAGCCAAGAAGAACAAAACAAGTTGCTTGGAGCATCATCTCTCCTGAACCCCACCCGTGGGGCCACCTGCAGCTGCTGAGGTGCTGGCCCAGGTGGCCACACCTACACGCTCCTGTGGTACCTGCCCTGGCTAGGGGTCAGCACGCCCCTGAGAGCCTCTCTGTGCACACTCTGTTTTGTTTTCCAAAGATTTGGAAATCTTTTTGTTTTGCAAAAATAATAGGAACATGCCTGTGCAGCGGGCTGGGTGGTAGCTGATCCCTCCCTGTCCCTCTGCTTTTCTCTCGCTCCACAGGAAAGGCTCCTCCTGCCTGTGCCCTCGGTGAGTGGTGGGTGCTGAGAAAAGCCGAGCTAAAGAGCTGAAAGAGGAGGTGGGGAGGAAGGGAAGAAAGGTCTGCCCTCACCATGACTGAGTGAGAGACTAAACCTGTGAGTATAATCTCTCCCCCAAAATACTCCTGCAAAAGGTTCTAAGTGACCCATATAAATAGCAGACACTCCCCACTGACTGCTTTATTAGCATCTTACCTGCTTGTTGGCTTTCAGCACTGCTCTCAGGGTTGCGATCTGCTCCCGCTTTGTACTCAGGAGTGATTTCAGTTTCAGTATTTCTTCCATTAAGGCCTCCTTGTCTTTATCGATCATGGGTGCCAGCTCTCGAGCTGCAGCACGCTGGCGTGACAGCTGCAGTGACCGATCGACAGCCTTCTGCAAGTGCTTGATTTGGTCCCTTATTATAGCATTGAGGTTGTAGATGTTCATCGGCTCCTTGCGGATGTCACTGGTATCGGAAACGGGGGAGGAAGGAGGGGCTGTGATGACAGGAGAAATGCTAGGTGTTTTCGTTGGGCTCTGTTCCTTGCCAGGCTCTGTGGCCTCTTTTGCCACCTGCTCAGTTGGGGTCCTGGCTTCTACGGGTGATGACACCCCCCTTCTGGCAAGCCGTGGGGAAAGGAGACCTCGAGGGTCATCTGGTCCTTTCAGGCTCCCGCTGCGGGTGACTCTGCTTTGCCTGTAATAGTCCAACATGACCCTGTTTGGTGTCTCATTGTTGCACAGGCAGACATGGTGATAGAGCTGAGCCAGCTCCTCACTAAACGTCACCAGCTCATCCTGGGCGGTGTTGAGGGTATTATGGTTTTCATTTGCTATGCTTGTCATCCTTTGCAATTCCTTTTCCATGTGGACCATTTTTTCCTGGCTTTCCTTGGTCGACTTCTCCAGGTTTGTCACCTGTTCATCGTACGTCTGGATTCTGCTCTCATACTTGGCCTTCTCTTCAGTGTAGTTTTCCACATATTTATTATATTTCTCCTTTAAGGCTTTGATTTCTGCTTTAAGGTCTATCACCTCAGTAACAGCTACTTTGTATTTACATTCTAGGATCTCCAAGCCATTGATGTCCACTTCGTAGTCATGTGCTTCCTGACCAGGGTCTCGACCCTTCTCACAATCAAGCTCAGCTTTAAGCTCCTTGTTGCTCTGCAGCCCTCTCATGGCATTGACATGCTCCGTGAGCCTGTGGACTCGCTCATGTTGCTCAGTCAGGGCTCCCTTGGTGTGCTCCAGCTGTGTCTGAGACTCCTGTAGGTTGGCCAGGAGAATGGCCTTCTCTCTCTCCACCTGCAACAGAGTCAAAGTAAGAAACCTGGGATCTCATCCTACCCATGCTGAACACCATACTCTACAATTACATTCATCTCTTCCACTCCCCCATCTGTGTATGCAATAAAATCAAGTCAGAGTGAGATGCGTGTAACTCTCAGAGGGTTATGAAGGCCCAGCCTCTGTTACAATTTGCAATATCACTAGGTCACAATTTTACATGTTGCCTACCAAAGAATTGTTTAGTGTCCAAGCACTAAGTGCCTAGTCACTACAGTGATGATACAGGATTTATTACGCCATATGTTCCCCAAACATATGAACTGCATCACTGTCAGCTATCAGCCATTGCACTGGTACATATACATTTCTTAATGGAGCTTGAATTTCTGTTTCCCATGACTAGTTCTACCAATCCTTCACAGTATTTATTTTTATCTTTGGACTGTTGCAAATTCCAATTAAGGCTTGATTACTGAATGCAAATACAGTAAATAAATCGCTGTGTACATTTCCATAGATTTGATTAAATAACCCACTGTGTACTAATGTAACACAGACCATGAGATTGAGCACATGCAACTCCCAGGACTCTTCATCCCCAGCAGTTAAATGTAAGCAAAATCCATCCTTTTAAAGACAAAGCAGAAAAAGTAGGATTTCTGGTATATCTAACAAACCACTGGTTCTGACCTATTAAGTTCCTTTCTGAATATCCACAGAGAAATGTGGATGTTGAACAACAGAAGAGGTCATGCAGGACTCCCGTAGAAGTTTTAATACACAGCATCTTAAAGCAAGGGAACAAAAAAACCCCATAGAGTTTGATCTTCTCAGGTATTTGCTACTCATTTGCTACTGAAAGACTCCCATTTCAAGTTTCAAGTGTAATGCTCCAAATTTTTTTCTGTGCCGTTGTCCTGTTCTGAGCTGTGAACTGGGAAGCAGAGAAAGGCACAAGGTGATGAGATCCTTCTTGCTTTCATGACTTTTGCAACAGGATCCTGAGCCTGCCAGGTTTTCTGCTCTTTCTCTCCCATTGCTGCAGTATTTCAGCTCTGTGTTTACACATACAGTGAAAGCAGCACACACCATGTTCCCTTTATGAGTGGCTGAATTACTAATTCTGAGAATTCAAAGCTATCAGTTCTGAAAAACCCTTTAAAAAGCCTTTCCTACTCTAGTAGCATTCCCTCAGGTAGTGTCTGGAAAAAAGTCATGGTGAATCTCACTGAAGGAAAAGAAAAGCCTTTTAGAGAACGAGAGAGTATTAATGCCATCTCACAAAATGGTCCAAGCAGTGGTTCAGACTCCTATTTTCTTGTAACACAGCCAGTGAGCAGTGGCTGCTGATCAGAATTATTAAGATACTAAAGCATATGATGATCCCCCAGTTTTATAGACAAGCTTTCAAATCATGGCCTCTGTTAGAACCTGCAATCCACTTCAGGCAAAAACTATAAGAATAAAAATAGAAGCCATATTAAAAACATCTAAAAAAATCAGCCTAGTTTTCTTGTGTACACATGAACAGTGGTTTAAGAATTAAAAAAACAGGGACAAACCTCATTATTAATTTATGATCCAGGAAGAGTGCTCCATTTTAGACACTACATACTCTGTGCAGAAGAGGACAACCGAATACCATGAGAATATTGGTACTTTCTCCATTTAACATTGTTCCCCTATCACTGCCTCAGTCTGCCTGTTGTCCCCCTTACTGCTCAACTCCTTTGTCAGCCCACCCTTGGGAAAATCCAAAACAGGGCAACCTTCCCCTTTGCCAAGGGCATCTTCTTAAAAGATGACTGCTCTACACAGATTTCTCAGACCTGGGGAGCCTCAGAGAGCGACCCAGCCAAAGCCTCTTTACAAGCATTCCTCTGTTTTTTTCCATTGAGCAGTCTGCCCCAGTTCTGCTCTCCCCAAAACTTTCAGATGAACTCTAGTTGTAACCCCCTGGTATAGCAGGCTTAGGTGTCAAGTGCATCACCCTCATCAGATAATGAAGGTATTTATTCCTTCAGGCTGGTAAGGTGACCTACACATGTGCATAAAAATCTGAGTTTTGGTTAATTTAAAGGACTGTCTCACCATATGGAGAGAAGTTGCATGGATAATAATGATGCATAAATTAGATACTAAAGGCAGTTGGCTTTTTAAGATGTATGGATCTGCTCTGGATATGTTCACAGGAAAGCAGACAATTAACTATAGATCGCACCAATGTAAATATAAATATAAAGCTCACAGCCAGAGAGCCTTTCCTTTGAGAAAACAGCTTTGTGTTAAAGCAGCAGTGTTTCAATGTCTGCTTAAATTAATCAGACAAAATTGATCCTGCAGAATTACTGATCTCCACTGTCATACTCTGCCATGAAGAAAAACTGTAACAGAGATAATTGGGATCTTTTTGATCATTTCTCTTCTGAATACAAATGTATTCTGGAAACAAACACTTCTTTCAAATAGGAAGGATTTTTTTCCAGAGAAAACATGCAACTTTTAAAACCTGTACTCCAACTCGACAGTAGCTAAAATGAAATGCGTAGATCTACTAAATCTTACTTGTTCTAGTTCAGTATCTATGGCTAAAAACTATATGCTTCTGTTTAAAGTTAAAAATACATGCTCCTACTTCCAAGGAACAAAAACCTCAAAATTCCAATTCAGCCATGAGTGCATCTTCTTATTGTTAATGGCTCTGCTGTTTCAAAGTACGGTGATTATATTTCTTGTTCTAGACAATACCGAACTCTTATTTCCATCCGCAGCAAACTTGTGGGAATTGTAGTTCTCTTTCAGTCCAGTTGGTGAGGGATTTTCTGACAATGAAATTGGTAGCTGCAATAAGGGTCTTTATAATCTTAAAATGAAAATAAAAGAAATTCAAATGTAGCTGTACCTATTTTGTGATGCACTCTTCTCTGCAAAGATTTCAGCTTGAGGAGATTTCCTTCCCAATTTTCTCTATAGTTTGCAATTATGGAAACCAATTTTACTATTGCTATTTATCCTTTTCTTTTTTTCTTTTTTAATAACATCAGAATATCAGTGAACAATTCCCAGTAGAGACTGGAACAAACTAACAGGAAAACTCAGCTCAAGAACCCTGAATCTCAGCTGTATCATATTTGTCAGAGAGTAGTAGGCAGTTGGAGAAGAGTGTCAGAATCTGGACCACTTGACTTTTTTTTTTTTTTTTTTTTTGAGAACTTAATCCAAGTTTTCCAAATATGATGTTGGCCTCAGGAAAAGGGAAAGCATCACCATGGAAGGAAGAGAGGAGCCCTAGGCTTTAAAGATGGGACGGATAATTCTTCCCACTGGACAACAAACGTGAAAGCAGAGCAGAAAGCCTTGAGCTTTTCCAAGATAATATTGGAATACAAGAATTTTCAGCAAGATGCTTGTTACCTAGTGGATTTAAAAGAGGGAAACAGAACACTTGCAATTAAGTCTCTTCTAGAGACCAGCACAGATCCTGGAGCAGCAGCATCCTAAAGCTGCGAGAAGGAACTATATCTGTCATACCAACTTTTAGGTGAAGGCTTCTTTCTGAGACTGAAGAATGAAAAAATTTGCCACACATCCAAAATGGCAAATGTGAAGTTTGCACCTCTCAAAAAAGGAGGCTGCTGTCCTACAGACAAAAATAGTTCCCACAAGAGGGTCAGATCCTTCAGCAACTCTGTCATAGTACAGCCTCTTCAGGTAAAAAAGGAGGAACATATATCAAATACTAAGATGTGTCTGGGTGAACACCACATGGCAAAGACACTACAGAGGAAAAAAAAAATAAAATCAAATTTTGCTGAATAATTATCTTTTGTCAGCTTGGATCTGATTAAATCTCCCATCTACTACAAGGAAAAATTTTGGAGGAATTTTTCACATTTAATTTGTGTGACCCAAGGTGAGCCGATGCAACTCAAGAGAGAAGATGATCACTTTAAAAAAAGCACACATCAGCATTTTGCAGTAAGCCTTTTTTGTATCTAAAGAAATCAGGTTTCCAGCTAGGTCTGGTTTCTCTTTTTAAACCTTAAACCTTTAAGCATGACTAGAATACTGAGTAATGGTAGCAGCTATGAGCATGAGAGTGCTGGGGCCCAGCAAAACCACTGTGACCAAAAATTGGTTATATATAGTTTCTAGGGTCTTCCTAGGGTCCTATAGGACCCTAGACAGTTTGTGGCTAGTGACTGTCAGAAAGCTGCCTCTTTGTTTAAGAAGTGTGAAATAAGTAATATTAAAGTCAGAAACCATCAAAACATTTGCAGTATCTTTCAAGTAGAAGTTTGCTGATTCATCAAGCTCAATATTTAATCTAATAAAATCAACACAAAACATACTCAAACAATCTTGTTTTTTCATTTCCAAACAGCTTTCACTCCAGATTTATATTGCATAAACTTCATCGTAAATTATGGTTGAAAATGCTTACATTGTATTTTAAAGTATAAACATTTAAAAGCATTTCTTCTGAAGCTGTTTTTTTAAAAGTGTTAACATTGTGTTTTTGAATGCAATCAAAAGCTGCATTTAATACATATGTGCATATATTATATATGTAAATGTATATGTACATACACATGCATATTTTTATATATGCATATATACACAAACTACACACACTATTTACATTTTAATACTGGAAAGATTTCTTACAGAATTTTTCACAGAAATAGAATTCCAACTTTCAAGCTTTTCCATTTAAATTATGTATATCTTGCATCAAAGTGATTTGTGCAAGGAGCTAGATGAGATCAAAACTGCCCATGGTGTGTTTGGCAATGAAGTAAACAGAACAATTAACTCTTCAGCAAATATAGGACAGACCACATAGGGATTTATTGTTCTCTCACTAGCACTGAAAATTGGGTTTGCTCTACTTCCAAATCGCCTTTTACATTTTAAGCAGGAAAGGATTCACACTTACTCCCTTTAGAAGAGGCACTTTTTGAAAGCCTACAGCTAGAAAATGCTGGATGTTTCCTTGATGCTGCCAAAATCTTTCAAGCTCTTGTGTCAGAGAAGATGCTGAACAGCTTGGTCAGTGGGACCCTGTCTCTGCATGGCACTGTACCCCTTTCTAAGATGATGTCAGCATTGGGGCTGGCAGCTTGAGTTTTTATTTGGCTTGCATCCCAGGCTCCTATTCTGGTTATGCCTGGGCTGGTCTTGGATGAATAGAGAACAAATGCTCGCTGTGTGGTCCCCAAGGAACCCCCTGCAGCCTGCACATCCGCCGGGAATGCCAGCATGGACAAGGGCACTCTGTGATGTCTCACATGCCACATGCTCTTTGAGTGCACAGTTATTAAGAGGAGTGCTCCTCTCCCTTTGTTCTCTATTGATGGTATGCCAGATCTTGTTCAACCTGAATTTAATGGCAAAAACTCCCTCTGACTTGCAAGGAAGCATAATGAAGTCTGTCCGTATTTTATTGTGGGGTTTTGGGGGTTTTTTTTGGTTTGTTGTTGTTGTTTTTGTTGGGGTTTTTTTGTTTGTTGTTGTGTTTGGTTTTTGTTGTTGTTGTTGTTTTTTGTTGGGTTTTTTTGTTTGTTTGTTTGTTTGTTTTTTCCCAGATAGCTTTGGTCATACTAAAGAGAACTTTATTCCACTCTCAGTTTCAGGGATATTTCCTATTACCAAAGCAGGGAAAAAAGGATCTATCTGCAACCACAGCAACTAGGACCCTTTCTCCTGTTTGCACTAAACACCTGCTCAGATCACACCTACTTTTTGTAGACAGATACTCTGTTTACTAGGGATATTTCTAGCAAAATTTGGATGTGACAAAACACCAAAGCAGAAGTCTGAGAACAGGACATATGTGGTCAAGAACATCACTCAGGGAAATCACTGCAAAAGCTGGCACTGGGGTCCATAGGATGTGTGTCTAAACACTTTGGGACAATAAATTCAGCTCTTACCTGCATGAGTTGCTGCTTCAGTTTCTGTATTTCTGATATGTTGAGCTCGCTGAAGAGGTCAGAGACAGGGTGAAGAGATTCTCCTTTCCTACCCGTGGGAGTTCGGTAGTCACCATTGAGTTTCACGAGAGGCCCATGGATATGTCCGTTCATTTTGTCATCATTGTTGGGCTCGCCCCCATCCTCTGCAAACTTCAATCCATCTACTGATATATTAATATGGTTATTATACATACTATCATTGAGGTTGATATACTGGGAGAGTTCCTTCCTTAGATTGTTCTTTTGCTCTCTTTCGTTTTTTAAAGTTTCCAGAGCTTCCTCCAGCTGATGCTCAGCAATCTCCTTCAGCCGGATGGCATCTTCTAGCTGACTATTAAGCAACACTGTCTCCTCCTCAAATCGTTTAATCTCATGCTTTAAGCCTTCATATTCAACCTGAATTAGAGAAGACAAAGAACATTCGTAATACTAAAACTTGAGTCATGAAAACCTGCCATTTATCAGCCTTATTGAAATAGGTGTTACAGAAAACACAGCTTGAGATACCAGACATTGCCTGCAGCTGCAAAGAACTGGCTGCACAGAAAATGCAATTGGGGCTTGCTCTGTTACATACGCCACTGCTCACTTCTTCAGCCTGTGAGAATCAAGACATGTAACACCTTTTTCTAAGTAACTTATAACAATAAACAATATATTTCATTGAAAGAAGGCTGTTTAGTAGCAGATATCTTAGTAACCATAGATTTATTATGAATTGCCATAAGCAATGTTGGTATGTCATGGTATGTATAATCTCAGGTTAATATAGTCTGATTTATTAATTGCAAGTATTCTGAAGATGACTTCTTATCTAAATTCTTACCAGATGTAAAGTCACTCAGGCACAGATACTCTAAAGTATCTGGTGTCTTAGTAGTGTTCAAGTACAAAAACTGTAAAGAGCCTCAACTCTCTTCTCTCTGTCATGCAAACCTCTCCATTATGCAAGAAGCATTCAGTTTTTAAAATTAAACAGCAAACTATTCATACAACCAGTCTAAACTCTCAGATGCCCCAAATTGTTAGAGATTTTTAAACAGCTACCACACAGATGCAGTAAACAGCATATCCAGCCACACAAGCCTTGAACTGTTTTTGGGATGCCATTTTGGAGCACTCAGCAACCTGTTGCTCTGATAAAGAAGCAAAGCCTAGATAAACCAAATATATCTCAAAAACAGTTGTTCAGCAATACCCAGATGGTGTAGCTGATTCCCACCACAGAAGACCTTTCTTTGCTGTCTCTCCTCATTTTACTTTTCACTGTTGGAAAATCCCACAGCAAGGAAAAGGAAGAGCTTTGTTTGTAAAGGTCATTGTCCATGCCTGACCAATTCTTCTGGTAAAAATTATCATTCTTTGATTTTTAATTTAATTATAATCATGTTACTCATCCACCTTTTAATTTCTAAATACAAAAATTCCCAATTCTGAGTGAAATAATTTGTTTGGTGAAAGAGGAAAATAAATACTGAATTTTCATGCTTCTATAAAAAATCTTTTTTCAGTTGAAGCTTTTCTTATTCAAATGCATTAATATGCATTACTGTCTGCAATTTTAAGGCATTGTCTAGAATACTTTTTTACATATATATTTAAACAAACTATAATAAGGTTCTGGTAAAAACAGAAATATCAACCATTCTTATTGAAGTAAAATATTTATCAGCCTGTCAAAAGTCTTGTACTCATAAGCCTTTGGAAAGGAAAACTTCAAAACCAAAGCACTCATCTTCAAACCCAGAGAATGGAAACATTTCAAAAAACAAAGAAAGTTCAAAGCCATATTGGGAAATGCTAAATAGAGAAGGAAAATCCATGATATTTTGAAATCTACATTAAAAACTTGGTATCTTTTCTGACTGGAGAGATAGGCCCATCTGAAAAACTATTAAATTCCATCAAGTAGCTACATTTATAACTTAAGGACACGGAAAAAGAAACCTTATAAAATTTTAAATATATATGAAAATCAGAGGTCTATATTATCTACATGGTTACCATCTCATGGATTCCTGCTTACAAAAGCTATGAAAAATCCCAACCCAGATAATGACAGTTTAGCACTAAGACTTGTAACATATGGTTTTGTAAATTAAAGTATTAAAGTATAAAATGCTCTTGAAATTTTATCTCGTAGATCAAAGCTATTTTAGGAATCAAAAGCGCATGGGTATGTGATGCAAAATGCCTGATTTTTAAAGCCATTCAAACTGCAGCAATGCTTTTTCTCTCCACAGACTGCTGTTATTTTGTTTCATTAAGAATGAACTATCATGACAAATATAAACACTTGCAAGCAGTTTTTCTTCTGGGGGAAACTAGGACAGTCCATAAAGGGGTCTTTAATTTCCTGATAGTGTGAAAATGCCTCCTATGAAGTTGGTGAAGAAAATTTCTGTGCCTCAAAGGGTGAATTTGCTGTCTTGATAAATAACTCTGACACGAAGATTATCTGCTATAAATTCAGTTTGAGAAGTGTGAAAGTCTGAGTATCTTTATCGTTTCTATTACCTGCACACTCCCTGTGGCACGGCTCCATTGTTTTAAATGTTTCAATTGCATTTGTGCAAATAAAATAGCGGTGGTAAAATAGCAGTAAAAAAATAACTGCAATGGTACTGGACATTCCTGCAGGAATAAGGCAGCCATTAGAGACTGTGGCAATCTTGGCTATTTGATAAGAGCCCTAACTGAACCTGGCAGTGGGTTAGGACATAAACCAGGGGCTGCAACACAGAGCTGTTACCATCTGCTAGCAGTTAAGGAAATGGTGTTATGGACTGCCACGTTATGCTGGTCTGGACAGTGCCTAAAAGGCAGAAAGTGTTACATCATCCAACTTGGATACTTAAATATTGATCAAGGCAAGTTAACTCTTCAAACATGAGAACAAATCTCTTCTGTTCAATTTAAAGGACAACTGTGTTGTTGATTGCTTCCTCAGCGGTGTGTATATCCAGCTGCAAAGGAAGCTGTGCTTTTGTAAGGGGGAGAAAACAGACCCCGTGATGGCTTACATCTGGCTGCAATGGGGCTGTAGTTGATCGTTATTCCTCCGGGTGCATTCTTCCCCACAGTGAGAATTACAGTGTGTTGGTTTGCCATCAGCTGCAAATTGCTGTAATGAGGAAATCAAAATAGAAACTAGGAACATCTGATGTCCTTTCACCTGTTTTTTTAAGCTTGCTAAACTTACAGGTTAACTTGTCTGAGAAGAGAGCAACACCAGTACAGGAAAACCTGAGGAGCAGGGGGGGGAAAAAAAAAAAAAAAAAAAAAAAAAAGAAGAATAGGGAGATTATTTCCTCTTTTCTCCACTTCAGAAGAGGAAAGGATGTGCAGGAAACCAACCAGGAGGAACTGGAGGGCTGAACTTTGCTGCTGGGCACTGAGTTCAGCATGCAGGGAGGGAGGAGTGGAAAAGCAGGAAGTGAAAAAATGAAGTTCTATCTATTTTAATAATTATCCTGCTATTACAAAATTCTACAATGAAATATTCCGTAAATTTTTTTCTGAAACTGAAGTAAGGGCCTCCCCATGTGTCAAAAATGGCCAATAACACTTATTTCAGAGTAAGTGCTTAGCAAAAAAACATCTGCAAAAAACCAAACAAACATACAAAGAAACTTCCATCAAAGTGCTCTGGAGGATCACATTATGGAACTTAGAGAAAACAGTGTCATTTTTCAGCACAGCACCTAGAATCTTTTGATGCTTACTTGATTCTGTTTCAGTGTGGACACCAGTTTCTGTAAAGTGATGTTTTCTTCTTCAAGCTCAGTGTAGTCCTGTAGGAGTCTCGCTTCTCGAAACTTGTACTCCCGAATTTCATCTTTCATTCGTATCCTCTGTAGTTCCACCATTTCATTATTCTGATGAGAGAAAATGCAGGTATGTTACCCTTCATACACAACCACCTTAATGATGAACACTTTACGTGAAAGGCCAAACAAAAAAAATTAATCCTCAAATAGAAATTATTTAACAGTGCAAATCAAAACAGCATCACCTTTTAATCTGAAGCCAAGAAGTAATTTCAGGTGCTGGCAATGCAGAAATGAGAACGCCTGATAAGGAAGCTTGATTAAAACATTTTCCAGATTAGATGCTTATTGAAATGGAAAATCTGGCAAGGCTGTATCATCTCATTAGTTTTATTGCTCTATGATACAGTTGGACTTAAATAAAATTACCACCTGTTTTCCACCGAAGGATGCTTTCTACATGAATACAGCAAAGCAATGAGTAATGGCATCTGTTCTGTAAAGAGACCTCTTACTGAGCAAGGTGCACTCACACATTTGTATCTGCAGGCAATAGAGAGGCACACAGGCAGGTGGGCAAAACCTGCCAGACAGACAGCTGCAAAACACTTGTCAAAAACATGACAAATGCATTGCTGTGCTGAGCAGGATTACACTCAGCAGTCTGAGAACACACAAAGCCCCTGCCTGAATTTTCCCATTAGTATATACAGTTCCCAAGCAGCCTTATAAGAGAGGTCACGAGGGATCAATTTCACCAAAAATTGCTTCTGTCAGACTCCAACTCTCACTGAGTTTGACATAAAGGATCAGGTTATTCTGGAAAGACTCTGCTGACATAACCCTGATGTAAAACACACTATGGGAAGATGGAATAGAATCATAGAATTGTTTTAGTTGGAAAAGACCTTTAAGATCATTGAGTCCAACCGTTAACCTAGCACTTCGAAGTCCACCACTAAACCATGTCCCCAAGCATCTACACATCTTTTAAATACCTCCAGGGATGGTGACTCCACCACTTCCCTGGGCAGCCTGTTCCAATGCTTGACAACCCTTTTGGAGAAGCAGTTTTTCCTAATAACCAATCTAAATCTTTCCTGCAACTTGTGGCCATTTCCTCTTGTTCTATGGCTTGTTACTTGGGAGAAGAGATGGAGACCCACCTTGCTACACCCTCCTTTCAGGTATTTGTAGAGAGCAATAAGGTCTCCCCTCAGCCTCCTTTTCTCCAGGCTAAACAACCCCAGTTCCCTCAGACACTCCTCACAGGACTTGTGCTCCAAACCCTTCACCAGCTTTGCTACCCTTCTCTGGACACACTCCAGCTCAACGTCTTTCTTGTAGTGAGGGGCCCAAAACTTAGCACAGTACTTGAGGTGTGGACTCACCAGTGCCAAGTACAGGGGCATGATCACTTCCCTAGTCCTGCTGGTCACACTATATCTGATAGAAGCCAGGATGCCATTGGCCTTCTTGGCTACCTGGGCACACTGCTGGCTCATAGAGTTAGAGTTGGAAGAGAACGGTGACCAACACAGTAGGAGCAACCTCCCCCTCTGCTTTGAAAAGAATCCTGCATTTGCCTGATTAATAGGAATAGGCATAATCAGTCACATCATCTCCTTGCCTGCATGAGGAACCTGAGCACTGCAGCTGCAGCTGGTGGAGGGAAGCACTACTGGCACCTTAATGATGGGGTAGAGCCCTCTCACTGCTGGGGTGTCAGAAAGAGCACTTGGGCATCAGTAATGGGTTTCCATTTCCAAAAGATTCCAGTGTGGAGGGAGAGCAATCACTAGCCTGAAAGCTACCTGGAAAGGCAAAATATTTAATAAAATCATTGCAGCAGTAATTGTAGTCAGCAAGCTCAAATAGATCAATCTGTACCACTCGCTCTCTAGTACATAAAGGATAAAACCATACATTTGGAATTGAGGATAAACAGAACTTTGCTTAGTACCTAGGTTAAATAAACAATAATAAACCCCTGGAAAATAACACTGCAAAGCATGAAAAAAAAAAAAAATACATTGATGCAAGAGTTACAAGAGCATTTTTTAAAAGGAAGCCTTTTTGTTAAAGAAAAATAAAAACCATCACCTTCCCCCTCCTGGCAGCTAATTAAGAAGAAATAAAGACCCTATGTGATTTATTAACTGAAGGCATGCCTTTGGTTTAAAAGATCTCAAGTGGCAGAAGAGTCACAGAGCACCAGATAAAAGTAACTCTCTGCATCCACCACTGCCTAATAAACCTCTGCGTGAACTGTAAGAATGGCATTGCAGATGATTTCACAAGGTGAAGGCATTTTACACCTCAGGGCTGCCTTTATACATTTTGTTTATGTCAGCAGGCTCTCAGCTGCGGCAGTTATTGATACCTGCTAGGTGTGGGTAAACGTGTCAGACTGAGGCAGTACGTGGACACCACCAAATGCACGACTCCACTGTGTCAAGTATAATTAAGCTACTCTGCAACTCTCCTAGGGTTTGGAGGATGATCAGCCTGGGCAATGAATAGTAGCCAGCTGACATCCATCCAATACATACAGTCACACCACTGGTTGAAAGTAAGATCTCTCCAAAGACAGAGGAAGAAAAAAGGTGGCCAGAGATGGATGACCTAAGCAAAGAATTTTTACTGAATCCTGATGTATTATTTCCTTGAAATAGTACCAAGCATGCTACTTTGAAAAAGCCTCTCACATTAACTCTGTAAGGTCAGCGTACTCCTTTGTCTTTCCTACTACTACAAACAGCAAAAGAAAATGTGAGCTATCATCTTGCTGGAGTGCACCACCATTTCTTTAAGAAGACAGAAACCACTTGCTGTCACTACTTGTAATTTCTCCTTCTCCTACATACTCTCAAGGGTATAAACAGAAGCATTTATAGCACTTCTCCTCTTACGCACGCAGAGATTATCTCTGCAAAGCAACCTCTACTCCTTACTACTCATGGCATTTGGTCAAGGAAGAAACAGTATGAAAAGGGAAGACTCATCAGACGAGCATCCTACCAGCCGTGCCTGCTGCAGCACTGCCTGCCATGCTTCCCATGACCAGGGCCAAGGCCTCTGCTGGAAGCAATCCACAGGGGCAAAACAAAGCACATTAGAGAATATGGTAGCACCTTTTCAAAGTAACATAAAATGTGTGTTTTGTCACTGCAAACACCCTGGCATTATTCTCTGTCCTACCAGATCCCTCTTCCTATTTGTGAACAACTGCATGATGCTGGCAAACATCCAGCTGCAAAGTGATCTAGTGCTTTCACTGCTTCCTCTGAAACGTGATGCTGTCAGCTTGCAGAGAAAAAGCCTGGTGTTATCAAGGCTTACGAGTGAGTAGCCACAGGACACATTGGAGGTCTGCCCTATATTCCTTCAGACGAGATCTCTATGCATTTTGTGGAAGCGAACTAGTCTTCAACCTATTAAAAAAAAAAATCATGCTGAGTACATTCTTTGTTACTGTCAGTAAGCAGGATATATTTGTTTCCATCGAATGCTCTGATTAAAGACAGTATCTTCTCACAACTCTCTATTGCTATATTGAATTATTTTAAATACATATTTCTTAAGCAGACAACACACAGTTATAGAGGACAGACTTTGCTCTGTCGATACAGTGCCAGTAAGATGCACACTTTTTATTTGGCCATTGCATCAGTCCTCTTCTGAGGTGACCCAGACTTGTTTGAAGAGTATGAGAGGATTTAAAACACAAGGCAAAAGGAGAGCTGTCAGCAGGGCAATTATCTATAAAAACCACTAGAGGACAACGTAATCCAAATTATTAGTAAAATAATTCATAATTAAACTTTACTGATAATCAAGCACTGAATATTAAGCTTGCAGGACAGAGCAATTCAGCCAGAATTTTTTACTTGAGTACTTGCTTTTACTTGGGTACTGCTTCAAGTTTTTTTACATTTCCAGAGAGGATTCCCCTATGAACTACTAGATCTGCAAAAACCAAATTAATCCAAGAGGTGGAGCTAATGACACACGAGCAATGTTTTAATGGCTGTAAATTATTTTCAATCCCAGTCACCAGCTGAACATGGTGCAATGCTTCTAATGGATCAGTGCCCAAGAATAAGGAAAAGGCCTTTCTGTGAAACTATAGCAAACAACAGAGTCCTTGTAAGCACTGCATCTAATTATATGTGAGCACTAATTGTGGAAGATGTCAGTCATATAGCACATCTAATGAACCTACATGTAATGGAACAGACCATGAGAAATGAAAACCAGAAGGCTCAGTTGAGATTAAGTCTGTTCAGGTCACATATCCACTAGTACTTATATTTTCAGACTTGCCATATATGAAAAGTGAAAGACATCTCTAGGTTTTACAGGGGCTAGGACCATATCTCTATAGTACAACCATCACTTCAATCCTGACAGGTCTCTGAGCGTCACTGGACTTTAAATATTTAATAATAAACTTTTGTACTTCTTAGCAAAATTAAAAGCAATATATATGAATATATTATTCTTTTTTGATTCAGCATAGACTTTTAAAGCGCTATATTCCATATGCTACGTACAGAGCAAGTTGTATTAATTCTCTGTGTGTGTAGATACATTGTAATACATTGTGTAATATCAAATGACTGTAAGTGAGAAGGTACTTTAAAATGAAAGAATGGAAATGTCTAATGTTGTAAATTATGAGAAAGAACTGTGAAAAAATATGATTCTCCCAGAATCATTTTTATGTCAGAACAACCCCAGTGTTGCCCAAAGACGCCACTTGTTACACTCTTGTGTCCTACCAATGTGCCTAAGGAAAGCAAACTGGGCAAGGGGCAGTGACCTGAAGCTGGGTATTCTCATCTCCAAGGTGAGAAGTGAGCTCTGATGGATTCGGATTTCCTTAACTATGGACTCATAAACTGAACTTCTTAGAAATTGGTGGAGTTTTGAAGCCTTCTTTTTCAAGTGAATGCAGTTCCATTGACTATTTTGGTTCTCCCTTATCTTGAAGTACATAAAGGATTTTTTTAATTATTATTTGTGGTTTTTGTACCAAACAATCATAGAATCATAGAATGGTTTGGGTTGGAACGG